CAATGATTAAATGACTTCTAGCCATGAAGAGACATAAAAAGTATGTATAAATTAACAAATCACAGCTTTTTTGGACATTTAAAGTCAATTCACAGAATAGTTTTCATCACTAAAATATTTTTTTTCATATATTAACATAAGCAAATAAGTTTTTTTTTCTTGGTCAAGAAAATATGAAAACATTTCCCTAGATGATAAACAATGTCAACAATGAACTGCTTTACAAAATTTTAAATGGGATATTGTGTGTTACAATTATTAAAACAATGTTTAATAAAATACATATCGGATGTTTCGAGAGTACGAGTAACAAAATATGGTAAAATAGGAGCACTTCAAAATCTAGTATTTTTTTAAATAAGAAAACGTTCTTTATCAAACTTCTTTTTTGGCTTAGAATTGAAGAGTTACTAAATGCACAAAATAGTAGTCAGATTTCCTTCTTATTAAAACTTTTCAAACCTGAACTGAATAGAAACAATTAATGTTTGATAACAATCAAAAAGCCATTTTTATATATACATATTCAGGAGAGGAAACTAAACTAGGTTTAGATCTTATATCTCTGAAAGATATAAACCTACAATTCCTTTTGAGTATGTATTTCAGAAAGTAATGTAGTAATGTAATGTAATGTAGTAATATTTTCTTTTTTCAAATGAAGTTCTACTAAAAAAAAATTCTGAAACTCTTTAATGCATTTGTCGATTTTATTGTCACTTCAGAATTTTTAAATAGAATGTATATATAATATGATGTTATAATTGAAATATATGATATGGTAAGTTCAATTATTATTTTAAAAAAATCAATTTGCCGGGCATTTTTTTTGAATTCACCCATTTCAACCTAAAAGAAGAGACACAGATAGGCGTTCAGAACTAAAAAATAAGATTGAGCTATGAAAAATATTGATTATACATGTACTAGGGTATATACTGAGTATTATGGATGGCAATCTAATAAAATATATATTCAACCTCATATTCGATAACAAAAGATCATATGATATAATTTTTTTTAAATCTAGACCTCGTTTTCCTGACGCTCAAGACTGAATCGCAAAAAAATATTCCCTACCTTCTAAGAACTGTTTGTAGTGCACAAAGTTTAAATTTTAATGTTTTCTGGTATTACAAACAAGCTTAAACTTTTGGTATCAAATTACCGACAATGTCCTTAATTTATTCAGCAAATAAAATCTCAACGCTCTTCGCTTTTTATTCCGGTTTATGGCCTAGACTTTAATTTTCTTTTTATAAATTCATATTTTTATAATTCAAATAGGTAACTCTTCATTAAACTTCATAAGTCATCAAATGCAACAATATGAAAAAAATACAAAGTCCATTAACATTTTGAGGTGGGACACGATCTGCGACGAGGCAAGATATAACGCCTTATGTAAAAGGTTTTAATGTTTTATCTGTACCTGATAACTGAATTATAATGAGATCATCCAGGAACGGGTGGAAATATTAAAATAGTTTGAAATGTAAACTATAGTTACCTATTCAAACGAATGTACGACATAATTATTTGACCAACTCCACACAGAGAAAGAAAATTTAAAAGGACACATTAGTCTTATGGACATTAGACTTAGTCACAAAAAAAATGTCAACCTCTTGAAGGAAGAGAAAGGTTATTTTAACAAACTGGAATATACACCTCAATGATCAAGTGCTATATATCGACTATATCGTGTTCCTAATATGTATATTGTGTTAATGATACTATATACAAGATTAAGCGTTTTGTTGATAGTATTGATATCGTCAATATAACAATATAATAATCGATAGTAGTGCAAACCACGTAAGAGGAAATATTCAAATATACACAAAGTATTGTAAAATACATCAGTAAGTATTAATCATAACCCACTCCTAAACGATCATGATTCAATATCGATACGGTATCGTCGATTTCGACAATATCAACAGCAAGAGAAACATCTTACACGGACAGTATTGAAACATACACACAAGTATAAAGAAACACAATAGTAAGATAACAACCGATTCGATATCGACGATATCTAAGTTAATGAAAACTAAGAATGAAAGTATTCAAGTAAAACACACGTTAAAAGAAACAGTATTAAGGGAGATAACCATCTCTTACTAGTATTCAACGATCAATATTCGATATCGATTCCATTATCGACAGTAAGGAAAACATCGTAAATGGAAAAGTATTTAATCATACATACAAGCATTAAGAAAGACATTAAAAAAAATATATAACATTTTTAAAATCTACCGTCGATATCGTGAGTTCATCATGTCTTTGGACTTGGTTTCTAATTTTTCTGAAGGGAATCAGACAACAGGTCCCAACAGGGGAATTATAATGCTCAGCAATACTCCCAGAATGCACGTTCATTTTGTTATTAACCGTTCACGGTAGCCCAGTCGGTAGAGTGTTAGCTCCGTGATCGGGAGGTCGTGAGTTCGAATCTCGGCCGCGACTGACCTAAGTCAATAAAAAATGGGTAGCAACTGTTCCGTCGCCATGGCACCTCGGCACTTTGAAGTGAAAGTTGCGTGTCCTTCGGATGAGACCTTAAAAACCGAGGTCCCGTGTCACGGCAGGCGTTGGCACGATAAAGATCCCTCACTGCTCAATGGCCTTAAGTTCCGAGTAAAGGAAATTTGAAGCCTTCACTGGTATTTGGTGACGTCTCTATATGAGTGAAAAATTCTCGAATGGGACGTAAAACAACATATAATCAATCAATAAGTTTGTTATTGGTCTGGTCTTGATATCTTTGACGATTTTATTTTGTATTACGTCAAGCTCATATTTAAGTTTTCGTTTCATATTTCTATGTCTTTTAGAACTGGAAAGATTTTTTATTTCCTATATTTTCCTCTAAATTAATGTGAATTTTTGCTTTCATAATTACTTACTGTATACATAAATCTCCTGTCTAACCTTTAAAAATACCTATTTGATATTCGATCTAAAGTACCATCTTTCTGTTTGAAAATAAACATATTTACTTAATTGATAAACATCTAAATTCCAGTGCCTTAAACCTTGTATTAAAGTACATTACACTAAAGGATATATTTTAAAAGTATGTCATAACATACTTTATCCTATAATTGGTTCATTCTTTTAAAAATCAAAGCATCACCGATTGTTATATAAAATCTAATCCCATTTTTGGATAATTTTCTGAAACTTTCAAATCTGGATGATTATAAAACTATATACATGTATCAACTTTTAGATAAAAAAAAAACTTTTAAGTTAAAAAAATTAAATGAAATGAATATTATTGTACCATTCAAAAATTACGCGGACTCTGCTATTATTTACTCTTACGGACGTCAAATAGCAATGGAATTTCACAGAAACATATTTCTTAAAGATTCCATTAAATTTTTGGTATTTTTTTTGGATTTTAATTAATTTCTCTTAAAATTATTGCTGTTTTTATGTATCGCTGATCGTGATGTACGGAGCATGACAAAAATTTGAAAAACAAACGTGCTAAAATCTAAAATTTTACTCATTTATTTTCTATAATTCGTGATATTATTCGACAATTTTCTCAAAGGTATCTTTTTTTTTCTCTATTATCATGTATTTAGATTTCTGACGTAATATTTGAAGTACTATCAGAAATATAGTGATTTTCTCCGATGCCATTCCTGTGAAAATACCTGCAAAAATGACGTCTCGTGAATTGACGGAGCAGCACACTTTTATCAAATTATGTGTAATGCTCGAGAAAACGCCAACATAAACCAAAAATATGCTTGATGAAACATGTAGTAAACCAGGGTATTCCCGACATATGTCTACAAAAAGCAAAGTGGAATTTTAGACGGTTAGACCTCAGTAAAAGGCAGTCCAGGAGGGGACGGGGTGAAGATCACTGACGAAAACTCTATCTGGACTGTTTGGAACGTGATTGAGAGTCACATGCAGACGTCACACAACATTTCAGAACTATCGGCAGTTTGGGGGTTTAAAACAGAAAAGAATATACTACACTTGTTTTATAGATTTTAAGCTTGACCAGCAATGGTATATGGATGTTTATATAAATGCTGAGTGGATAAGGTAACCCAAACTGTACAGTATCAAACTCTGAGGGAAAATGCTGAGAAAATGAAAGCTCATATTTTTTAAACTGCCCGTGACGTCAAAGATTTCTCTGCACCGTGACTTCATGATATGTCCTGTTAAATCACCCAAAATTGGTATCAATTTACAACATTTTGATATGGAATTTTGATGATCATATAATTGAAGATTCTATTATATCAAGTTTGACTTTTGCCTGATAATGTCTTCAAATATTTTTTTCTGTGCAACAAGTCCGCGTAATTTTTGAATGATTAATAATGATGAGTTAGAATTTGTCTCTCCCCCAGTACCAGAGGTATATATATCCCGGGGAAAAATAAAAATATTTTCAAGGGAAAGATCTTAATTGTTTTTGTATTAAAAAAATATTTAACCTGATATTCTTCGAGGATTTACTCTCTAATTATATAGTATTGTAACACTTCTTGTTATTTTGCCTAGAGACCCATCGTTTTTTCCTATCAGTCTAAGAAGAAAAAGTAAATTTTACCGTGGCAATGTGGAACTAAGGGATAAACACCCCCCCCCCCCCAAAAAAAAAAAACCCGATTTACGTAAAGTGTAAAACCAGTATATCCTGTAAATTTTGAATATACTGGGTGGAGAGTGTATATATCACGATACCAGTAAAGGATACGTTGCCTTCCAACCAAGTATTAAACCATCCACAGCTAAATCTACGAACCAATCCTGAAATTGAAAGAAACAAAGGAATATAAACTTCATCAAAATGAATGTTTATTACTTTGTTCTTTATTTTACAGCATAAATAAGATGTTAATTCAATGAGGTCTCGAGGTGTAAGAATAAATTATACAACAAGAGTCTTTTTGTGGTTTCATGTCCGACTACTTGCATCAAATTTGATTTTTAGGAACAAATATTAACATAAAAGGAAAACATATATACAGTAAAAGCTTCTATTTCGTGTAAACATTGATTCTCTATAAACTGATTATGGATGCTGCTATATATGTCCTTCTAATTCTGGGATGTAGCATTGGAGTACAATCTTTGGAACAGCACGAATTTTTAGAGGTTTGATTTTTTTTTTTTAATTTACTCTAATTATCTTTATAGTGGAATGTCAATTAGTGAATGTATCGGTAAGTTCTCGAGAAAGATCGCATAAAAATATTGGGCATTTTATAAGAAAATGTTCCTAGTTAGATTTCGCAATCTGTAAACCCAAAAGAGCTAATGCAAATACTGTGGAATCATTAGATTTCGTGGTGGCTCAATTTTCGTGGAATTCGTGGGTACCTCTCATCAACGAATTAGCATCCTCCACGAATTAATCAATTAGGGTTACAAAGTCACATTTCCTTTTGTAAGGATAAGAGAATACACGAGATTATGTTTCAACGAGCCTGTAAGAATTAAGCAATCCATGAAAATTGGCCCCCATGAATTTTAATGATTCCAAAGTAACTCTTAATGTTAAGTTAAGGGTCACATACATCACAATTCATAATGTGAAATGATAATGTCTGATTACAATATACATTTTTTTTTAAACTTTAAGAGTAATACGCATCTTTATCAATTTTAAATATTTATTCATTTTTCTATTTTCACCATTGAATTCAAATAACAAAGCATGACAATGACAATATATTGTACTAGTGAAGATGACGATGAATACTAAGCCGTTTTGGAATCATTTCATAATCATTTATCATAAGATGTGGATTTGTTTTAGGCCCATAACCTTGTAAGGCGGTATGAAAATGCTGCCAACATGAAAGAAATGGTAAGATACATAAATTATTTTTCCTTGACTGAGATGAATTAAACAAAATGTTTTCTTGACAGCAAAATATTCTTTACATAATGTATTTGTCATGAATTTGCAAGTATCTATTTAACTACCCAATCATTGGATTATTGATGTACCAGTAGTTGATGAGTTTATTCTGCGGTTAGATGTTCAAATAACTGTAAATGATTAATAAATCAAATGCCTTTTTTCACTTTTTTTAATCTTTATAATTTTTTAATACATGTAGTGTAAAACGCAGACGAGATTTGAATATGAAAGTGAATTGATAGCAATTTTACAATAAAATGAACTCTGAAAATGAAAAAAAAAATCTTCTTAGAAATGGAATGACGAATTAGCCTCTCTCGCCCAAGATTGGGCAAATGCTTGCATAAGGGGACACAATCGTAACAGAAAGACTCGACATTTCAGGAAGATTGGCGAAAATATACACAGAAGTACCCGTACGTATGTGGGTTTTCTTTCTACATATTTTGTATTTAAAAAGCATCGTATTGAATTCACACTTTACCAATATATTTAACATAAAGTAATGTTTAAAGGGACAGAATCGTGTCTTGATTAGAAGCTTCCATTACATATGCTTGACCCCCATGCTTTGTCACAAGATTGAAGTTATCTTCATTTTATTACCAAAACAATATAAATGAAGAGAATGTTTGTAACTGACTACCAATCATTATCAACAACCCAACTTTTCAGGTCAAAAAACAGGTTTTGAAGCAGTAGCCAGCTGGTGCAAGGAGAGGGCTCATTATAATTTTGATAAGGACTCTTGTACTGGTGTATGTGGCCATTATACACAGGTTTGATGCAAAAACAAATATAGAACCCATAACAAAAATACAAGTTTGTTCATTCTGGATGCAAACTAATAAGTGTAGAAATTTTCTTACCGTAGGCAGTATGGGCTGAATCGGAATATCTCGGTTGTGCTGTAGCATTTTGTCCTCATTTCTTTCGCGGGAGAGGTGGTTACAACTATGTATGTAACTATGGACCAAGGCAAGTAGTAATGATAGATTATTTCCCGATTTATCCTCGATTGAAAAATCTATTGGAGTGAAAATATGCATAAAGGTAATGGAATTCGGATAGTATGAAATCCGCACTATCGAACCAAACCTTTGGTGCGATGATTCCATAGGATAGGGCCATGTAGTTCACCAGCGCATCAGCGTTATTGCGCTATCGACCTAATACAAGTAGTCGATGCTTGATATTGCGATAGTGAACTACGTGGCCATATCCGGATTCCATATAAAGGCGATTTCTTTATTTAGTGGGACAGTTATAGTCTGCTTTGATTTACACAAATATCTGCATATTGTAAATGTTTAGGTTCTGTATTCTTTGCTGCAATGGCCATGGTAAATGTTTAGGTTCTGTATTCTTTACTGCAATGGCCATTGTAAATGTTTAGGTTCTGTATTCTTTACTGCATGAACATTGTAAATGTCAGGGTTTTGTACGCTATACTGCAATAACCATTGTAAATGTCAAGGTTTTGAACTCTATAGTGCAATAATCATTGTAAATCTCTTTTAACATTGGATGAAGTTTCGGATTTTACTCGTGCTGTTTACGATGAAATACTTAGTAGTATCACAAACGTTTATAATCTGTTTCAGTGGAGAACCATTAGATCCCACAAATGATTAAGTATTCGCCCAGCAGCATAACCCAAAGCACAGGATATGCAAAATCAGATATAAAATGAACAGTTATTGACACTGAGTTGAAGAGTTTGTTATTTTCTTTATGACATTTAGTAGAATAATAATAATTATGTGTTGTAGGGGTAACTGGAGGGGAAAGAAACCTTACATTCCCGGGCATCGATGTAGTCAATGTCCCAAAGGCTACAAATGCCAGAAGGGACTGTGTGCCAAACAGGACTCGTGATTCAATGGTGTGGAACCGATGTATAAATTTGTGCGACTGTAAAATTATTCAATGCATGTTTTGATTAATCGTCAAGACGTGAACATTTCATTACTGAAGGGCTTTGCATTATTTTGTTTTACTAATTAACGTGACTTTCACTTCTTTTTATGTTGCAGTAATGGAAAAACCTCTTTAGGAAGAGATATGTACAAGGCTTATGGAGGGGACTAGTATAACTCTGTCCCCTTGCTCAATTGTATATCATGTAAAAGTTTGATATATTAAAATATTGCTTAAAATAATGTAACAGATTGTCAGGGAAATAGAATTAAAAAAAATGTAGACAACAAACAGTTATCAAGCTCAAAATTCAATAATTGAATTAAAACTGGAGACAGAACATATACGGAGCCGTGGAAATACCAGAGGTGGGATCATATGCCATGGAGAAGTAAACATCCCCTGTCGACCTTTACACTCCCTTTAAGTCTATTGTATTGGTCATGTGAATGAAATAATCGACAAACAAATTTTACGTGTAAAAACAATGACCTTAAATTTTTTATGTAAAACACCAGTCAACATTCAACCCAAAGATATACACGTATATGTAATATTTTCAAACAAGATCATCATAATAACTGAAGAATTTGATAAATGTTTGACTTGAGACGGGACTAATGCTACATCTGTAACAACAAATCATTTGTCTTTTTTTTTTTTTAAGATCGATCACTGTTCGTTATCTTCGCTTTTTTCACTAGCCTGCTCGGTTCAGAATTGATCGTTTGAGGAATGTTCTTGCGTCTTGAATAAAATGGGAAATACCGGTATATAAACAACAAATGCAGGTTGTAATGGTGATATATTACTACCTGAATAAGTTGAAGATAGAAAAGTTGAAGTCATCCCATTATCAGGAAGTTTAGCTGTTGGTTTGCCATCAATGCTATAATGGCTAGTAAAATATACATACATGAAACAGTTCTGTAAGAGTTTGTGGTGACTATAATTTCGCTTTCATATACATCGGATCAACGTACAAGAGTGAAAATAAAGATTGTAACTTGATAAGATTACTGTGAAATCACTAATTTTCGTGGGGGTTTAATTTCCGTTGTTTCCAAAGTATGAAGAGACCCATGTTTGTGGTGACTATAATTTCGCTTTCATATACATCGGATCAACGTACAAGAGTGAAAATAAAGATTGTAACTTGATAAGATTACTGTGAAATCACTAATTTTCGTGGGGGTTTAATTTCCGTTGTTTCCAAAGTATGAAGAGACCCACGAATTTATTTCCACTATGTAATGTAATTTTCCACTTATATTACTAAACCAAGAAAAAATATCTGATTTAACTGTCTTTGAAGTTTCCTTCAATATTTGTTTTTGCATCTCTTCGTAATACACATGTATTATTATTTTCTTATTTCTAAACTGTTTTCAAATTGGCTGAAATAAAATTTTTACCAAAAGATGTGATATCAGCGATTCAAATGATTTCCAGTAGGAATATATGGGAAATACTACCCTTTGGAATTTAGCACATATGCCTCGTAATTTACCTCAATTTTTTGTGAGCAATACTTCAATCACAAATAATTGTGAAAAAAAATATGTATGTTATTGAGGAACATATCATCTGACCTTAATGTCGAATCGAAGGCCATCACAAAAATACATCTGTTTTCTTTTATGTACTAAAGATTTAAATAAATTCTGCTTCATAAGATCGGCTAATAAAGGGACAAAATTACAACATATCAGAGTTCATAATTCAAGGTGGGATCAAGTGCTTACGAGGAATAAGCATCCCCTGTCGACCAGTCCTCCCCGTCGTGAGCCTCTGAGGTAGACGGAGTAATACGTAGTGTAAACAGTTTAACGATTCATCTAATATGTAATTCGGGACCAACAAAAATAATACCACTGCACAAGATAACTCTAAGTGTGGTCTGCATGGAAATGTACGAATCCAAACTTAAAGGTCATATGAAACGATTCTTAAGGTAGTATGGGATACCTCCACGTTATGACGTATTTCCGTTTGAAGTATTGTTTTGATTTGCATGAGTGCTTATTATCGGGTCAAAATTTGTAGATACACCGTTGAAAAGAACACTCTGAAGCCTATTTCAATGCAAGTTCTCACAAGTCGGCATTTTAAGTAAAAACAGACAAAAAAATCGCAAGTATATAAATTTACTTATAATTGTACAACGGACATTTAAAAAAGCAAACCCCTGTAAAAGGTAGTTTCAACATTGCTGCTTTTGAACACTTTTAAGCAAAAGCTGTATTTCAATTGTTTGAGTAACTGTACAGCACCTTGTGTGCGGTGAGGCATGGATAAGTGCGATTACTTCACATTGTGCTGAATTATCACCAATCAATTATCACGTTAACCAGAGCTGGACTTTTTTGTTATTTAATTCAAGAAGTAACTGTTTGGTCACAAATCAGCTAGCTGTTGTATATAGTCCCAAAACGTTCAAATGAATGCAATTGCTCTGAACAAGACACGTCCTGGAAAGCGATTGTCCATGCATTGTTTTCAAAACCGCTCAAAGTTGAAAACTACAAAGTGCGATTTTTTTATGTTTGGGAAAAAATGCTCATCATTTCTAAAATAGCACCCAGGTTTTTTCAACCCTTGGAAAATAAAGAAGGATAACTCTTCCGCTCGGATCTTTTAATTCAAAAAATTTTAAATGCATTTTATATTTTCCATTTATATATATATTTTCAATTTGTTTATTTCACTTTGCTAACATATTAAGAAACATTCTTATTGTAGACTCTCATGAAATGTTATCCGTCTGTTTTCAAGAAATAAAGTTTTCCCAGTTTTTTACGCTTATTTTTTGTTGAAAATTAAAAAAATACTAAGACATATTTCTTGTCATTTTTGTTTTTATAAACACTTTATATTAGCAAACGCCTGCCTATAATATTAAGCTTATGAAAAAAGAATTATGCAAGAAAAAAAATCGTTTTTGCATTTCTCATTAAAATAATAAAAAAATTATTAAAATTACACTTTAATATACTGAAAGGTGGGGGTATTTCAAATCCTTCTAATTTGGGTACATAAATATGTAGGAGAAGTTTCGTTTGGTATCCCATACCACCTTAACACTAGGATTTTACTTTTTAAACATAAAGACTGGTATGAAAGAATGTCAAATCACGTTTAGTAAAAAATTTTGCCTTTGCTTAACTGAAAAACGAAGGCCTAAACGTGTCCACTTGATAAATTTGTTACCCGCTTATCGTTCTTGATTTTGTGTTTTTATGACGTCACAAAGACCCACTGATGTAAATAACGCATTAGATCTAGACAGTGTAATTTTACCGTATTTTATTGAGTTAATTTTAGTCATTTTTGTGGGTATAAATGTGATTATGTATTCAGATGAGCTATCTGATTCTAAAGTACAGTTTACTCTATTTGAACTAATCGTTAATTAGACACAGCAACTGAAAACGAGAGCTTTTAATCGTAGGATGATCCTGATGAATACCCCGTAGAAATCAAGATTTTTCTCCTCCAACTATGATTACTTATTTTAAATTAATACTTTAGAAACAATTTAAAATCTTCTTATTTCTGTTTGATACGTATATGATATATTTTTTTCCATTCCCAGTAAAATTGTATAATTAACAACAAAAACAGCGTAATTAATTAACACTGACCTGAAACTTCTTACAATAAAAAATTTAATGGGCATGCAAAATCTGTAAAGTTGTGTCATATATTGAGAGGGAAAAATATGTAGCTCAAGCGTAACCCCCCTTTTTCCCAAATAAACACGGGGATATTGAAGTTCATGATAAACATGGATCAACGAAAAGTCGGCGTATTTGAATGTACGCTTTCTGCAATCTGAAACACGAGGACTAATGTAAAAACGATATAGAAATAGGGGTTTATGACATCACCGTAATTTTGCTGTCACAAGATGCATGATTTTAAAAAAAATTGCTCAAAACTTACCTGCATTACGAGAATGTATATAAATACACTGTAATGTTACGGTGCTGATACTTCTTACAGTTTGGCTGAGCAATTGCAGTTTGAAAATACTCATAAACTTTGTGCATTAATTGATCAGTTAAAAAAAATCCATGCCCCCATTATTTGCGAGACTGAACCTGAACAATTACCGATAATTTTCAAAATTAATACTTTTACAGTTCAACATTTTTTTTTAATCAGACTATATGATAATCGGTATTAAAATAAACTGATACAAATTTGAACAATTCGGTCTGTAAATATATACATACAGAAAAGTAGGATTACACAGATAGAATTAAGTTTAATGTCTGACTTTTTAAGATTATTACGATAATATAGTTACGGTGTTATGCGTATATGTACCGACTTTTTGGTAAGAAAAAAATACGGAGAGAGAGAGGGGGGGGGGTCATCGAGACAGGGAAAACCAAAGAGAGAAAAGTAATTGAGAACGGGAGAAAGCAGTAGAATCATATCATTTCCCATAAATAAATGAAATCATTTATATGCAGGTTTAGTTTCACTTTCACACACAGCGCGGTCAATTGAATTCAGCTTTATAAATGCGCGTGCTACCGAGTACCTAGATAGCATCATCTAATCATGGCTTAAAAATTTAATCAGAAAACAAATCATCAGTATTCTTATGCAAGAAATTTATTCAATTGTAAATTATTTGACAGCGTCTATATTCACTTACTCGAGTACAGACCCCCTCTCTTTGTAGTATCATCTCTCTCTTTGTCGATTGAAGTCTCGAAGGACGACAATAAATTACACAGATAAAACATACTAATATCTTGCAAATATGCAGTAGGACGTTAAAAGACAAATACTGTCTTGTTTGAATATCGTATATTTATGCGACGTTTTAGCCTAAATAATGATATTTCTTAAAATTTACGCTGCAAAACACATGATCGGTTGTATAAATGTTAGAACTAAATGTACGACTGGGTCTTACTGACGTCATAAGCAAAGGGAGATAAGCCGCGCTAGTTGAAGTTCATTTTTGCAGACGAGTAATTTTGATCGACTCTGCTGCCGCTAACTTGCATAAAAAATTCAAAATATAATTTCAGGCTTATTAAAGTAGCTCAGATGAACTCATTTCCGTATACAACCCAAAATGCACTGGACATTGTTTCAAGAGGCCCATCGGCAACAACGCTCACCTGAGTTACTTTGGCCCTGCTGTTCTTCACCAGATTCCCCCTCCTTTGTAATACTTATTGTGGCACCACCCTACCCAGGGGGCCATGATTTGAACAAT